TAAACTCAATTTGAGAAGCGGCAGGGCAGCACACTCAGTATAGAGAAAAGAAAGGGTACATTCCAAAATGAGAGTCACAACAGATATGCCTCCACCCAAGTGACACAGGCTGCACAGGATGGCGGTCTTAAATTTTGGCGTGCGACTCTACATAAATGCAAGAGATTTGTAAGCAATTCCCCCTTCATGAGGAGCTAGCCAGGAGGGAAAAAACAAAACAAAAAACCCTATCAATATTCTAATAAGAATCATACCAGTTTGTCAGCAGAAGTTTAGAAATCTGTGGGCTCAGGCAATGAGACTAATTATTCCACTGAATGGAAATGTGAAGATGTAGATCTTTAAAGGCCGTATTGCTACTGCCTGTCTCTTGTGCTATAATCCACAGGACTTAACTTTACCACCACAACCAGTAGCAACTCTGACAGTAAAATTACTGTTCTGGCATCATGAAAAGTGGATCAACAGAAGGTCACCTCCACAGAGGCTATGGGATGTTTCAGGGTTTCTGTGCCCATATGAAACAGTGGGAAATGCTGGCAGTACTGAGCAAAATGTGTAATTCATCTCTTTAGATAGTTGTACGTTTCTGAACCATCTCTATCTCTGTGCAAAATCCCAAAGGGGACAAGCCTGAGTCTGCTAAAATTCTACCACTACACAAGTTGCTAAACTGTACCCAAATGTGCCATCACATTTATTTATTTTCCCCACAGAGAGCAATGCCCAGGGAATAACACTGGAAGTCTTACATGAGTCCTGCTTTTCTTATCTCCCTATGGCATCTCAGGATGGCTACAGACCAATATGGCTCTTACAGAAAGCAGCTTGTGTACATAGCATTCATGTCTGTCTCACATATTCCTTAGATACTAGGTAGTGGATTGGTTTCATTACAGACATGAAACAAATTCTACTTGCAAGAATTAGGGGAGGGAGGAAGCAATTAGTACTCGCTAAGTTCAAGAATGTGCCGAGTGTTTTTTACTCCATCTTCTCAATCCTGGCAATAATATCTTCAAAAGGGAAAGCATGTCATTATTTTTATTTTATAGCTATGGAAACTGCAGCTCTCAGGGAAGGAAAAACTTGCCCAATGGCACACATCTAGTAAGAGGCAGAGCTAGGTTTTTGAACCCTGGCTCTTTTAATGGCCCCACATTGCTTCTCTAGGACTTCTGCCCTCAAGGTGATCCTGGCTAGAGGTCCCTTACTTGCTCCAAGGGTTGAAGATTGCCACAAGAAGTCCTCCAACAAGAGTCAGGTTTCAATGCTGGAGCTGCCACTACATTTTTCCAAGATCCTCCAGCACCTAGTCTGAACCAGGGATTGCACATGTCCCTTGGCACCCTTTACTGAGCTACAGGTCAACAGAAAATAAGAGCAGCTGTTTTATAGCAACTAAAAACTGGTTTGTGTGCATCAGCCACTCTATATAAGCGTAAAGGATTCTGGAACTCACAGGTACTCCGAAGTTCGACCCATGATATCATTTTTGTTCAGTGACTCCACAGGAAAGCCCAAAATAACCATGTTTCAGGAATGGAGTTAGGGGAAAGATCTTTTGGGCGTGGCAACAACTCTAGATCCAGAGCAGAATCTAGGCACTGTCTTCGTCCCTGGCCAGAATTCCACCCAGCCCTAAACCTCAAGTATTAACAGTGTCCCCACAGACTACAAAACTACCCCAAAGACCTGGGGCTTTATCTAGGAACACTGTCAACTGGCCAGAGCTTTACTTACTTTTCATACCCACATAAATAAAGCACGGACCTCAATATTTCTATTCCTTTCTTTCTTACCACTCCAGGTTTAGTTCCCGCCTCTTTTCTTTTTTATCTAAACTCCATTTAATAATAAAAGAGGGAATGAAGTTGGAGAATAAACTAGCTTTGGGGGAGCTGACAGCTTAGATTTTTCTTTTTTGGAAATGGGGGGAAATATGTCTTACTTTCCTTTTTTGCTGGGACAAAATATCCAACATTCACAACTGAAAAGAAGAGAAATTCATTTTGGTTCATGTTTTAGAAGCTTCAGCCCTTGTATGGTCCTTGGCATGGTGGAAGGGCCTGGTGGAAGAAAGCTGCTCACATCAGGGCAGCCAGGAAACAGAGCGAGAAGGAAGGAACTGGGTAGGGAGATACACCCTCCAGGTCATGCTCCTAGTTATTGCTTCTTTGAGCCAGGCTCACCTCCCAATAGCAAGTCAATTATAATGCCCCAATAATTCAAACACCTTCCAAATATATAAGGCTTTGGGGCCCATTTTCTATCTAAACCATAAGAGCATATATCCACAATATGTTCTGGCTGCTGCCCATTCTGTTCTGCAGCATGAAATGAGACTATACAGAGGCAGGGCTGAAAGAGAGAAAAAGAGGAGACTGACCAGTGATAACTTTTAAGCAGTGGAGTTGGAGCAATCTTTCAGAACTGATGTCTTCTTGGATGTCCTTAAGACATGTAAAGAGTTGTTATACAAAAGGAATATAAAAAGAGATAGCCACACTGTGTATAAAACCCTTCACTACACCTACATCACAGTGTCTCTACAGAAAAAGAAAATTGGTATCTTCTGCAATGACCTTCGGAAAGGAGACAGAATAGTTCATAAAGTTCCTGGAAATATAATATATGGGTCTTTCTTTAATAATGTCTGATTTATTTAAAAGCACATTTTTGACTACTCCAGATAAATCGATGCTGCTTCTAAAAATGTCTTATGTTACTCACTAACAGAGTGCAACCATTCTGAAGACAGTTCCTGAATGACTCGTTTTAGCTTTTGAATGGACATTCCCATATCACACATGCAAATTAAGATTCTCTCCCTCTCTCCCTTCCCCTCTCTCTCTCTCTCTCTCTCTCTCTCTCTCTCTCTCTCTCTCTCTTCTCTCCCACCTCTC